TATAGGACCCATGACTACCAACCCAGGGATGATGGCACTACCCACAATGGGCTGGGCCCTCCCCCATCAATCACTAATGAGAAAATGCCCTACAACCTGGTCTTGTGGAGGTGTTTTCTCAATTGAGGTTCCCGCCTTTAAGATAACTTTAGTTTGTGTCAAGTTGATTTAAAACTAGCTAACACAGCACCTCTAGGTTTTTGTTTGTGTCACCCAAGCCCCCCTGAAGAGGACAGAGTGGAGAGGCACCCAGAGGCAGTCCCTAGGTCAGGTCTCTTCTGGGGCCTCTGTTTCCCCCTGGGCTGGATTAGATGGAGCAGACCCATTAGCTGGAGGAGGGAGGTTCAGGTGGAAGCCTGTATTAGCTGCATCCTAGTTATGGAGTCCTTGCCTCTAGAAACCAGCTCCTCAGAAGCCAGGAGGAGACTCACACCTACCTGCCCGGGCCAGGGCGGTATCTCTTCTTCTTCCAGGCCTTTCTGACTTCCCTGGGGTGCAGGCTAGCATCTTGGCAAATGCCAGGAAGGGGCAGCACTAAGGGAACCTGAAACTTCAGGCCCCAGGCTATTGCCCTGGCTGCCACTAACTTGTGCTCCCATGAGAAGGCTGCCTCTATTGTCTGTACCTTGGTTCCCAGCTCTAAGGGACATGTGGACCCTAACAGTCTACTTAGCTCTATATGGGACCTAATCACGCAAGCCAGGAGTGGTGTGGTCACACAGACCTGGATTTGATTCCTGGGTGTGCAGTAAGTAGTTCCATGGCTCTGCAGAATGGGACCGCTCTACCTGTATTTACCACTTCGCTGCAAGTTCCAAACAGTGTCATGGAAAAATGCTTAGGACAGGGCCTGGCTCTGATGTAGGAGTAACTGCTTCGTGTCTTTGGGGCCCAAGAATGAGTGTTTTGTCCCTGACCTTTCCAGGAGGAAATGAGACCTCTGGGAAAGCTCTGTTTCCAGCTGTCCTGGCATAGGAATGGAACCTCCAGCTGTGGGCTGTGTATTGCTATTCCCCTCAGGGGGCATGGGACACCTCAGGGCACAGGGCTGCCTCCTTCCCCTCCTCTCTCAGGCCTGGCATTGCTGCCCTAACTCGGTCGCTCTCTACCAGACCCTCACAGCATCCCTTCTCTCCTGGCCCACTTTCTACTGAGCCTGCCCCCCACTTTTTGCTGTCCTTAGTGGGACAGGCCCCATGGGGATCCTTCAGATGGCACGCTTTCTGTGGTGCGTGCTCAGGCCCTGCAAGACCCCGTGACATTTAGCATATGCATGAGAACACACGGAGGAGCTGTCACCGTGTCATCAGGGCTATAAACCTCCCTCCCATCATTCCCCGTCTCCTGGAACTCAGCCCAGCCTCCTCTGTCCCTCCCACTGACACAAGGCACTGTCTGTGTACACGGCCAATCTCTCTATGGCATTGTCGTGCTGGCTCAGCAAACTTCAGGGTTCCCACACCTGGCCACCAGCCCACGGCACACAGGCCTGTGCTTGAGTACTGCACACGTGTTGAAGATGGGGTGCACGTGCTAGACAGTTATGCCTACTGCGGCCCTGGGGAGTGAGAAGTCTGGCAGAACCAGTCCCCCCACCCCGATGCCATCATCAGCTTAGCCTCATTGCCACGCAGGCATGGCTGACTCCCTGATGCCCATTGCCACTAGGCACAGATGCCAGCTTTGTGGGCACAGAGAGGAGGGGAATGAGTGGGCTCTGTAGTTGCACTCAGTATGCAGGTGTCCAGCAAAGCCAGCTCCTGCAGCCCTGACCTAGTCTCTAGAAGGCCCCAAGAGGTAGGCACACACGCAGGTGTAAGTCAGACCTCCACGGCCAGCTTCTCCTGTTCAGCTAGTTTGCCACCATCAGGTGGGCCTAAGGTCCTGGGACCTGCCTCTCCCCTAGCTCGGCATGCATAGGAGAGGAAGGTATCAGTGAGAGAGAAGAGGCAGGGAAGGGAGGGTGCTAGGACGGAGGACATGAGGGAGAAAAGGAGGGAGCCCGAAGTTGAAGAAGAAAAAAGAGACATGGTGACCACAGTGATGTTAGGACCCGTGGTCCCTGTCATGGCTCCACATGCTCCCTGAGTCCCTGGGGTTTTTCTAAACGCTCTGCTGGCCTCTGACCCAACCCCTGCATTTCATCTGCGGGGAGCGACAGGAGCAGTGACCAGGCCAGCACTGGTCCGAGAAGATGGCCACCTCTGTGCACGGGGTTACATTTCCATGGTTACAGCCTTAGCAATTCCCTTTAGTGTTTTACTGGTTTTAAAGCAGCTGCCGTGCGCTTGGGCCCTGATAAGTGAGGATCCCAGTGACCTCAGTTTTTTTTTTTTTAGTTCTTGATGCTTGTTTTGCAGGCATTGCTGCAAATAAGGCCAGCACCAGGCAATGTCTATCAAGAGCTAACCCCCAGCAATATTTCGGTGAACAGTGTCCCAAAGTGCTTCCATGGTTGAGGGAGGATTTCAAGGGGAAAGGATTTCTAGTTCCTTCTGTAACAGCCACTGAGCTCATCTCATTTGAACTACAAAATAGCCTTACAGGTGAGAGACATTGTTTACCCAGTTTTGCACTTGAAGAGGTTCAGGGAACCTCAAAAATCACAGCAGTGGCTGGGTGGTCCCAGTGGTTCTGCCAAGAACAGGCTAGAGCAGCCCTTGGGTCAAGACTCCTTTGGGGAGGGGGTCAATCAACCCTTACGCAGGAGTATTCTAAGACTGTCAGAAATCGCAGCGATTTACATTACAGTTCCTAACAGTAGCGAAATTACAGTTAGGAAGTAGCAATGAAAATAATTTTATGGTTGGGGTCAGCACAGCACGAGGAACTGTATCAAAGGGTTGCAGCCTCAGGAAGGCTGAGACCCACTGGGCTAGAGGATCAGAGGCAGAAGGATGGCAATACGGCTCCACCCCACCTCTGCCTTTCTCCCGTGCCTCTAGCCCTGGCCACGGTGTTCCGTGCCTGCTCGCTACCCACCAGCTGTGCGGCCTCTCTGCTCTGCCTCCGAATTGCCACGTTGGCGGCAGAAGCGGGAAGCGTATTGTGCACAGAAACAAAACGGAGTGGTTTTTCCTTTTCTGAAGGTGGTAATGGTGCAATTAGTGGATAAGCCATTACCCCCTCCTCCCTGGCTTGCCTCCCTCCTTCCTCTCCACCTCCATTTTTTTTTTCTTTCCTGAAAAAAAAAAAAGTGGCTGAATTGAAGAGCTCTCCCTCAATCTTCCACTGACTCTCAGGAAGAGGGATAGAGCCCCCCCCCATGTCTCCAAGGTCCTCTACCCTCAGTTGGGTCAGGCACTTGTTGGTGTTGGAGAATAATTAAAGGTACCACTATGTCTACAAGTGAGGCAAGTAATACAGTGATTTATGGATTCTGAGGAACAAGTTGGAGAATTTGCATTTATCTGCCCTTGTTCACTGGGCACAAATGCTGACCTGAGACCCCTGCACAGCCACCTGTGAGAAAGACCGAGGCACCTTTTCTTTTTCTGGATGGAGGGGTGGGGTGTTCAAGACCCAGCTGCATTATGGGAGTAGTCATGGACTTACTTTAAAACTTCTATTTTTGCTTTCTACAAACTGAAACCCATTCAGGTTTGTCTACTTCCCAGAGCCCATTTACGGCCTAGGCTGTTCCATCTTTATGGGTGTCTTCTGCAAGGATGACTTCCTATTTTCTAGAAAATGATATGGGGGTTCAGAGAGCTTCCTCAGAGACTTGCCTGCCAGGGTCACACAGCTAGTAAGTGGCAGAGCTGGGACTTGAACTCAGAACCCTGGTCTTAAACGCTGTGCCTTGGGGTATGATTTGGGGCTGCAGGTGTGAAGAGGTGAGGTCATCAGGGAAGATGACTAGAGTGTGGGAAAGAAGGCACCAGGGCAGGATACAGCCATGCCGCTGACCCAGCCCTGGGTGAGCCAGGCCACGCTCGCCTCATTCTAGTCGCCTCTCTCCAGTCCTACCTTGACAGGAAGCACAAGCAGAAACTGGGACAGTAGCCCCAGGAGACCAAGTCTGCATGGTCCCTCTAGGGGTATGGGTGGGGAGAGCTGGCAGAAGAGGTCTTGGGAGGGTGACAGCTGCACAGTGGTGACAGCTAGGGGTGAGAAAGCAGCCAGAACCATTCCCTCAGAGTCCTGGGTCTGCTCCCTACTTCTCCCCCAAGCTCGAGCGACAGTGTGATACACACAGTGGCTAAAAAGCAGGGAGGGCAGGCGCAAAATAGGGACAGAGGCAGAGGCTAAGTCAACCAGACCGGTTCTCAGAGGGAGCGGAGAAACTGCAGAGACTACAAGGGGGAAGGGAAGGAGAGAGAGATGAATTAGCCATCATTCCCCTGTAAACCTTAGAACCCAGCTGTTTCCAGGGCAACGGGGCAATACCTGTCTCTCTAGAGGAGATGAAGTTGCCAGGGTAACTACATCCTGTCTTTCTCAAGGACCATCCCAGAATGTGGCACCCACTAGCCGTTACCATAGCAACTGCCTCTTTGCCCCACTTAATCCCATCCCGTCTGTTAGAAGGGCCCTATAGTTGGAGGTGGGGGAGGTAGGAAGAGAGAAGATCACTTGTGAACTAACTTTGTTCTCTTCCCCTTCTCCATCCCCCTCAGCACATCACCCTGGGAAAACAGGGTCCACTTACTTCTGGGTCCTCACAGTCCTGCAGTATTGTGTATACGGGGGGCCAGGGCAACCCAGGAGCAGGTTTTGAAGTGGAAGGCAGGCAGGTGTTGGGGAGGCAGTTACCGGGGCAACGGGAACAGGGCGTTTCGGAGGTGGTTGCCATGGGGACCTGGATGCTGACGAAGGCTCGCGAGGCTGTGAGCAGCCACAGTGCCCTGCTCAGAAGCCCCAAGCTCGTCAGTCAAGCCGCTTCTCCATTTGCACTCAGGAGCACGGGCAGGCGAGTGGCCCCTAGTTCTGGGAGCAGAGCAGCGGCGTCCCAGTCCTAGTTCCCAGCCTAAAGCCTCACTTGCCTGCCCAGTGCCAGGATGGCCACCATCACCTGCACCCGATTCACAGAAGAGTACCAGCTCTTTGAGGAACTAGGAAAGTGAGTCACACCTGAGGGAGTCTTGGAGGGCATGGGGGATCAGCCTCTCGGGCAGGGGGCGTGTGCCTATGTGGCTAGAGTTCTCCCGTGCTTGCAGAGGAAGGTGTGGTGCATGATTTGGGGGCACCGTGTGTGCACAGGGTGTCCAGTCAGGCGTTGACACATTTATGTGCCCATCCAGCCTGGGTGTGTGTGTGTGTGTGTGTGCCGAAAGGGTAACAGATTGATGGTATATGCAACTACGTATGTAAATGCACATGACCTGGGTACACAAAGATTCTTAGAAACTTGGCATTTTAAAGGGATTTTCCCACTTGGCGGTGTCCAAACTGCGATCTTTTCTGTTGTTGAACTTAGATACCTGCATCGGCAGAGAGCTCATCAGCTCCCATCTGGAGACCCTGACTGTAGACACGGTGCCAAGTGGCACATCCCCTTTCCCTTTCCCAGTCCCCTACCAGGAGCAAGGGCTTTGGTACGGAAGGGGTTAACGTGAAAGCGATTGAGATGTTGGGAGGAGGGGAGGAATAAGCGGCAAGCTGGGGGGGGGATGCCACTGTGGCAGCGCTGTGCACAGAAAACAGTAGGCAAAGTTACCCCTCCTGTCGTCTCTCTGATGTTGAGAGAAGGGTAGGAAGCAGAAAAGACCAAGGTTTCCGAGGGTAGACCAGCAGGCTACAAATATAAGGGAAGGTTTCTAGATGTTCCCAGCTGGGCTTGTGGGGGTCCTGGGAATGGACTGATCAGGAGTTGGGGAGCAGTTTGGCAGAGTGCCCTATGGACGCAGAAGTCTCCCTACCAGCCCTGTTTGGTTCCTTCTGTAGCAGCAGGAACATGAGACGAGGGGCCCGGTGAACATCTGTGTGCCAGTGTGAGATCTGGAGGTACATGTACCAGTGAACATCTTTGGGGGAGAGGCTATATATGACTTCCATGGGAAGCAGATGGGGTTGTATAAGAACTGACAGTGGGCGCAGTGTGTGAACTGAAAAGACACACAAATACTGGTGCAAGTAAACCACAAAGAGACGTGCAAGTGTGTTGCTTGTGTGGAAAGTCTAAAAAAATGTCAGCGTGCCCTGCAAGAGTGCATGTGCCCAATTATGCAAGGGATGCTCTCGATTAGGTTGCAGCAGAGGTACAGATATGCATCTGCGTGCAGGTGTGCAGCAGGACAAAACTGTGTGCCTATCAGTGAACATGAGTGTGCATGAGATGTATAAGGTCACAGATGAGAAGTGTGGACAGAATGTTCTTGAGTGTGCATGTATCTTGAGGAATATATACAGAAAGTGTGTGTGTGTGTGTGTGCATGCGCACACGTGTGCCTGTGTGAGGCCTGGGCTCGTGTGGGTGTGTGGGTGCTATAGGCATGTGTGAGCTTATGCTAGTGTCTGCATATGTGTGGGAGGCAGAGCTACGGTTGTGGATAAGCATAGCCCCTGAACACACACACACCACACACACACACACACTCACTCAACTATCTAGAGACCTACACATACCTTAGCTCCCTTGTGCAAATGTGTGTTCTTGCTTGTCTCCAGACTTCCTGCTGTTCTGTGTGTCTTAGTGTTGGAGATGGGGGCAAGAATACACTTTTCAAGGCTGTTCTGGAGGACTGTCTCTTAACTTTATCTGGGACCCCTTTCCAGAGCCTGTCTGGTGTTTACCTGGAACTCAGGGCTTCCTGAATAGACGGGAGCTACCTTTCTGGAGTCCCTGAAGCTGGTTCTGTCAGGACTGAGTCACAGAGCACAGTGAAATGGAGTTGCGATGCGATTCCTCCAGGGAGCAGAGCCACACCAAAGTGCTCTTTTGCCCTGAGAAGAGATGGGGGATCATTAGCACTGGGCTCATTCGCCTGACTTGGCTTTCTCAGCCCCTCTGCCTGCCTGGATGTGAACAGATTCTAGGGTAGGGGCAGAATTTTAAGGGATAAGGAACAGTGGTATGGCCATGGCAGGAAAACCAAGGGTGGCAGGGATGTCCAGGCCTTGTCCAATCATTTTTAGACCTCTTCCTTCCAGAAGTATTGGTTCTCTTAACCTTTTTTAGGTCATTTATTCCTCCAGGAATCCAATGGAAGTCTAAATAGACACTCCCTAGAAAAAAATGCACAAACCTTCACAATGTTGCATGCAGTGTCGGAGCTTGTGGGCCCTCAGGGGACGGTGCAGAAACCTGCGCTTGAGGATGCTTGTACAAAGGAGAAGGGGTTGTAGTGGGTCTGTTTTGTGACCAGGGCCAGGGCACCCTGTGGAGGATGAGTCAGATGGCTTTTGCTCTGCACCCTAGCCTTAGTCTGAACTAACGCTGGGGTGTTCACGGAGGGGCTGCCCCACATGACCTTCAGCCCTGTGACGTTGGGTGGACTGCCACTCCTTCTGGCCTGTACGTTGTGAGGATTAGATAGATGGTGTGTGGAGACACAGTCTCAAGCCTGACACACAGTGGGCCTCTGGGGGGGGCGTTGTTTCAGGAGTGGATGTTACCCTTAAGGATTGGACAGGCCTGAAGGAGGAACAGAGCCTACTCCATGTTTATCTTTTGTGTAGAGGGGCTCTTGTTTAGGAAGATGTTGGTCAAGGTCTCCTTGGGCTTTTCTTATGGGGCAGAAGCGATGAAGAAGTCTGCCTGAAGAGTTCACTGTTTGGTTGAGGATCCTGCATCTTCTAGCTAGGATACTGGGTGGCTACCCAGATTCTGAGCCCCCACCCAGAACTCTGCCCACATAACTATCCGGCCACCTTGCTCAGCTGGGCCTGAAAGAGACTTTGGTTGACCTCTGTCAGGGCTCTGGGTGCCACAGCCTTGAAGAGGGCCAGCACATTTCGAAGACTTACTGGCATTCTGCCCAGCGAAGACTGGCTTGTCACCAGCTGCCTTTGAGGAGGAGCCTAGGGTGCAAGCAGAGATTTCCTCTCCTGCCTGGATGTAGGCCTGAGTTGGGGTTTCTGAAAGTTCTAGATGCTATCAGACTGATGATCCCCTCCATGCCTTGGCACGGAAGCATATGCATTCAGATAAGCTAAGATGTTGATTCTGGGTCCCCTAAAGGGTTGGGGGGAGGACGGGCTGTTTCTAGGGACCCAGAGATGGGCTCACTCCCCTCTCCCACCCTGGGATGAAAGAAAGGGAAGTACTTGCTTTGCGTAGACTGCGGTGCTAACTGCAGGGCCAGGGTGGGCCAGGGTAGCCCTCAGTATTCCCTTCCATTCCCTCAGCCTTCTCTGATGTCCAGAGCTGATAGAAAAGCAGGAAGGGTGGTAGCGGTGGTGGTAGTGGTGGGGGGTGGGGTAGAGAGGGACAAGGGAAATTCTAATGAGCTCAGGCAAGCCCCGTGGTAGGAAGCTTCTTCTAGCCATTGCCTCCCCAGGCCTCCATCTGCCCAACCTGCACAGGTTAGCGAAGCAGAGCCTTGCTCTGCAGGCCTATGATTGCTGCTCTGGACAGGAGAAGCCCCAGGAGGAGATTTTACTTAAGAAAGAGAGAGAGAGAGACAGAGAGACAGACAGAGAGAGAGAGAGAGAGAGAGAGAGAGAGAGAGAGAGAGAGAGAGGAGGGAGGAGAGAGCGTTCAGCCCACTCTTTTCTCTCTAGAAACAGGGATCTGAAGTTGACTCAGGCGGTGCAGGGTAGGGGAGGCTGGTGGGAGTGTGGGTGGCCACAAGGTTGACAGCGACTTGGGGGCTGGCCCCTGAGCCCAAACCCCTTCCTCCGTAGCTTTTCATCCTGTACCTCACTGGGGTGGGCTGATCTGTGGGTGGTGGCCTGGCTTCGAGGCAGCTCCCTGTCCCGGGCTTCTAGGTGCTGGATGCTCAAGGCCTCTTTGGGACGCAAATTCCAATGCTCTGTAGCACGTGTGTGGCCATTCGTCCTTTCCCTGCAGCGCTGGAAGGAGAGTGGACGGTGTCATGGTGAGAGGACACTAAGGCACCAGGGCCGCACCTAGAGTCAGGGTTACTCTGCACCTGAGTCCTCCCACCAGCAGCACTGGGGCTCCTGGTGCCTTTCCATCCATTAGCTTGTGCCTGAAGGAAGTGGGCAGAACCTGTTCATCCATTTTACAGATGAGCAGACTGGAGCTAAAGGAGGTGGCAGGAGAGCTCAAGGGCCTGGTCCCTGGGAGGTTGCTGAGCAAGGCCCCGTCTAGGGCTGTATCTGTGAAGAGCTTTCCTCTTGCCCATGAGCCAGGGGAAAGGGGCAGTGGTCTTGGTGGTGGCAGCAGGTGGCAGTGAGGGGGGTAAGGATGAGCTGGTGTTCATTTCTGGCCATGATTCGGCCCAGAGTTTACTGGGCTACCTGGGGTGACTCATTCGTTCTTTGTGTGCTTCCGCTTGACTGTCAATAAAATGGGGGTCCTCTCTCGGGAGATGTCTGAAATGCGGCCCTCTGTGACCTCCCTCGGTGGTGGAAATCGGCGGATCCTGTGCTCCCACCATGGGCGGGCTGTGGAGACTGTCCATGCATATACAGATGGAGACACCTCATGGAGGGTGGTGTTTGGTCCCAGGCTACAGGAGGCTACAGTGAGAGGGACCGGAGGCCAAAGGATGGGAATTGGGGAGGCAGGGCCTGGACGGCAGGGAGAGGCACAAGGACAGGGGAAGGGACAGCCTTTCCCGGCTTCTCTGCAACATCAGAGCAGCAAGCAGGCACATGTTCTGGTGCCTGCCGCAGCCCTCCACCCCCACACAGGCGCCCCCACACAGGCTGAGACACACTGACACTCTCCAAGCCTCCTCCCTCCCTCCCTCCTGCCTCCCTCTAAAGCACAGTGACACTGCTCTCAGCAGCCCCTGCAGCCTGAAGCCGCAGCCCTCTGTGTGCTGTGAGGGCAGCCCTCTGGGCTGATGTGCACACGCATGCGTGCACACACACACACACACACATGCACACGCACGCACACACTGGCACAGAACATATAGTATGAATTCACCTTCAGTGCAGGGACAGCAAGACAGCACCGCGTGGGCTTCTGGACTCTGCCTTACTACT